CCACTGCTACCTCCGGGAACTCTAGAAGGTAGTAAAAGGCCTGCTCCTCTTTGTCTTTCTTTCTCTCTCCCTCTCCTTATGTCTCTTGAAAAGATACCAGCATTCAGGATACCAGCAGCAGCAACAGAGCAACACAGATGTCTTCTCTCCTCAATGTGTTGTCCTCTTTGTCTTTGCATCAGTGTATATGGTTGTAGGACTGATGAGTTTTCATTTTTGGTGATTATTCCCACAGCCTGCCCTGACTCTTAGATGGCTGCACTGCCTTGAATTGGAATGTCACAGTCCGGAGGAGAATGAGACAACAAGAAACATGGGATAACAGCACAGGTGCTTCAAGAGTTGGGACTTGGAGTTTAAAAAAAGGGTGATGGTGGGGAAAATCATGAGGGAAGGACCCTTCTGCTAGCCAGAGAAGGTGGGGTATAAAAAGGGATCAGGTGCCAGCTAAGGGCCGTGAAAAATAGATTCTGCTGGATTAGTGAGCATGTTCCAAAGGAAGCCAGGAGACAGCCACAGGGCCTTCGGACATTGATTGGAATACCTGAGTATCACTAAGCATAAGATCTATTTTTAAGCTTCATGTCTACGTCTGAGGGCAAGCAGAAGAGATAACTTGATTTCATCATGAACCTGAGGTCATTACACATACTGCTCGGGGAGGGATCTGCAAAGGACGGTCACGTGCAGTGACTCTAAGCTACAGGTCCATAACCTGGTCCTTTACTGAAAGCTACTGCAATCCCTCAGCGCAGCGATAGCCGGTCCTGCTTTCATCCTGCATGGCCTAAGCAGGAAGTCATGTTCAAACAGCGGACCGAATGAAAGTTGTGGATGTTTAGGCGAGGTGGCAGGGAAGAAAATCCTTTCTAACGGCAAAGATGGCAAAACAACCTGGACTAGATTGCCTAAGGCAATGTGAAGGCTAGACAAGTATCTGGCAGGTACAGCACTGCCTCTGGTCAGGGGGATGGATGAATCTCTTTCAGTCTGGCTTTCTATTACTCAGTGAGTGATCTAAACAGCAGATGCAAACACTTTTTAATAGCCCCTCCCCTCAAGCCAGAGGAACTGTGATTTCTTTATTTCTCTTGCTCCCTCTTTCATTCCTTCTCAAGGTTCATATGCTTAGAAGAAGGAACTGTACTTTAAATCTGGCCTGTGAATGAAGGTACGTTTCCAAAGCCCTAAAAACCTAACTGAAGATCCTGTTAGTCACACAGCACAGGGTGTGGGAGTTTGCCCAAGTGGCCATTTCCTCAACCTAGCAGGCAGGATTACCTACAAAGGTGCTCCCTGACTGGTGATCAGAGAGCGCTGGGACCCATAAACCAGCAGGTGGTCCACAGCCCCGTAGCACACACGTGGCCGAGCAAACACACATCCACTGGGCGCTGTGGCAATGTTCTGCTGGTGGTGTCTGAGCCCCCTCTCACCCCGCCTGCGTGCCCTCCCCAGTTTGGGTCTCCGAGCAGGAGCAGTTGAAAAGCGCTGACCCAAAGTGCCCCGAGGATGGCTCCAACCATCCTCATCAGCAGAATGAAAAGAGCAGTGCGTGAGGAAGAAGCAGTCAACAGAGGTTTCTCTGTTTCTTCGTATTTAAGACACAAAAGAGAAGTGCAGGACTGAATGGTAATCAGGAGCAGGCAGGCAGGCTTGCACTGGAGGTGACGGTTTTGTGATACACCTCGTGGACTACACCACTGTTGACAATTCAGGAGATCCGGAGATCCCATCTAGACTTCTCTGTTTCCTTGCACAAAAAGACAAAAAAATGAAGGCCGCTGAAGTTATGTAGGTGAACAACACAGGGCAGACATCAGATTTGTGTATCGCTGCTGTAAAGGGAAAGTGACCTCTTGACAGGGGAAGAATGCACGCTCTGTCAGCCAGGCTGGCTGTGCGGGTCCGGTTAAATAAGCAACCAAAATCACATTCAGCACAAAACCGTGATACCAATAACAACATCAGGCAAAGCAGAGGCTGTAAGAAGATGACTCTTTTCAGTTGCCTATAGGAGTGTCTGAAAAAATGAGTAAATCCTCTGCCTGCAGAGTAGCAATGCAAAATAACACTCCTTAAAAAAACAACAGCTACATTTAGACCATTAAAATAAACAGTTGCAGCCAATTTAAAAGTCCAAATGGGAGAGCTGACTGGCCCTAAACGTCACAGATGAGGTCTGCCTGAGTGACTGACAACTTGGAAGTAAGTAATCTTGGATACTCATGAATTAAGATACACCCAAGATGTGGCATCATTTGGTATCTGTTACAGACCACTGGAATCACCGCAGAGCGCAAGGTGACAGCCTTCTTCAACAGCTATATACAACAAGTAGGAAAAAAACCCCTTGTGTTATTTATGTCGGAGACCTTATGTCATCAGCACTAAAGCACGCCTATACTTTCCAAAAGGCGACGAACGACAAGTTACCAACTCCTCATTTAAGGGAAGGATCAGCCCTCCTCACCCTGTGAGGCAGAGCTCTTGCCAATCAGCCGGACGAGTCACGTACCGTGCAGGCCTGGCAGCACCAAAGGGAAAGGGGCATTCGGGAGCAGCTCACAGCACGATGGCCACGACGCGAAGAGCTTGTGGGCTGTAGCTAAACCTCACCGCACACGCACAGTGGTCACCCCACCACACACACACAGTGGTCACCCCACCAGACACTGTGGTCACCCCACCCCACCGCACACAGTGGTCACCCCACCACATACACAGAGTGGTCACCCCACCAGACACAGTGGTCACCCCACCACACACGGTGGTCACCTCACTGCACACGGCGGTCACCCCACCACACACCGTGGTCACCCCACCACAGACAGTGGTCACCCCACCACACACAGTGGTCACCCCACCACACACGGTGGTCACCCCACCACACACACACAGTGGCCACCCCACCACACATGGTGGTCACCCCACCACACACACACAGTGGCCACCCCACCACACATGGTGGTCACCCCACCACACACACACAGTGGTCACCCCACCACACACGGTGGTCACCCCACCAGACACTGTGGTCACCCCACCAGACATGGTGGTCACCCCACCCCACCGCACACGGTGGTCACCCCACCACACACGGTGGTCACCCCACCACACACGGTGGTCACCCCACCGCACACAGTGGTCACCCCACCACACATGGTGGTCACCCCACCACACACGGTGGTCACCCCACCGCACACAGTGGCCACCCCACCCCACCACACACAGCAGGAATCTGGTGACCTGCTCCCCGGCCAGGGACAGCAGCAGCAACAGGCAGGAGCTGCGGTGCCAGCACGAGCACAGCTCACCCCTGGCCCTGTGATGTAGCTACACCTGAACTGCCTGTGAGTCACAGGCGGTGCAGCAGAGAAGCCAGACAATCCCCGCTCTAGACTTTGTCTCAGCAGGGAGGAAATGATCGCAAACCAGAAGGCTACTGGTTGTGTAGACTGAAAAGAACCGACACTTTCTGTGCAAATAACTAACATCATCTGCAATCAAATCCAGGCTAGTATAATTATATGTGATGTATGAACATACGCTCTTCATATATACATGAATTAAAATCACAGTGCGTGCTTTCTGAGAGGCAATTTCACAAAACTTTAGCGAATGGGAGTCAAATCAGGTACAGAAAGTTGCTGACATCTGTGAACTGTTTAAGACATTTCCTACGTGTCTACAATGTTATAAACATGAAAAGAAGACTGGGCTAGGTAAAAATGACACACAACGAAAAAACCCAACAGCTGGGTTTACCAGGGAAGTGAAAAAACACATAGAATGCTATATACAAAACCAGCGCATGAAGAGGGAAAGGGGAAGCGATAATAATGAGTAAAAAAACTAAAATAAAGCTTACACAGGGGAAGCAAGAGGATACTAGGAAAAATGAAGGCAGATAGAATCAGTTATATAATTTTTTATTTTTCTAAGCAGATTGTGAAATATGAATCCTGAACAATAAAAGTGGTAGAATTGTTCATAACAACACGACAGCAGCAGAAGTTATTCAAGAAATGTTTCTGATTAGCACACAGGTAAAAGTCTGGACGATTTGTTTATGGTGATGAAATAACTTCCCACCACAGCAGCCCCTGCAGAGGGAACATTAAGTGGCAGATACATGATTGTAGGTGTTGCAGATTAGTTGCTAGAAATAAACTTGGCTCGGAAGGTTTCAGCGAGAGAGCTCTGGAGCTGCTCCTGCTGCATCTAAAGCCACTCTGGGCTGCTGGGGAAGGACCAGGGGCAGGAGGAAGCCTCGTGTTGGGCCACTGTTTAAGAAAGGTAAAAAGTAATTTCAGGCCAGTTGGATCAGTTTCCAGTATTTTGCATAGGATAGAACCAACCAACATAGGACTCAGTTAATAAAATCTTTTAAAAAAAAGCTCCATAATTAAAGTCGATCAACTTGGCTTTAAGGAAAATGGATACTGCCAAGCTAATCTGATGTCATTTCTTGCAAAAATTGCAGGTTCACTTGACAAAGTCACCATTGTGGACAGTACTGAAAATCTAAGTCATTTGACTTGTTCTGTAGAACATCTTTATGAAGAGACTGAATGCTTTGAATCTCGTATGGGGTGTCTCCATCTGTCCATGGAGAGCAGGACTCCACAGGTGGACAGCCCTGCAGGAGGTCAGGCAAAAATCTCTATGTATTTTATACTGAAGTCACTTCTGAGTCCGCAATCAAATGTATTAAAAAAGTTGATATATGAAGGCAGCCAAAGTGCAACTGTAAGTGGGTTCCCACAGGTATTGGTGATCACCCCGTCACTATTTGACAGCCTTCCCAGTGACCCGTATTACAGTTAAGTCGTTATGGTTCGATACAAGACTGGGGACAGCAAAAAACAAACAACGTAAGGACAAACCTGGCGCAGAGAAACTGGGGTCTGTAGAAAGATGGGAGAAGCCAGTTTAGGTGTTAATATGGCCAAGTGCAGAATCACCCTATTAGAATAAATAGTATAGGCTGTACTTACAGGGAGAGAGGGAGAGAGAGGACTCTATCCTCCAAAGCAGGGACTGAATATGAGACCGGGTGTCCTGGGAGGCAATCAGCTCGACATGAATTCCCCACGCAAGGCTGTGGCCAAAAGGGCTGATGCGAGCCTCAGCTGTACAAACAAACGAAAATCAAAAGATGAGTAGGTAGGTTACAGTGACGCTGTACTTGGCTCTCGTTCCTCTGCTCATGAATAGTGTATCAGGTTCTGCTGCTCCATTTTTCAAATAAAGCGTTGGAAAAATTGGAAGACTGTTCAGGGAAGAGAAATTAAAGAACTGAAAACACTGGGTAGCAGAAGGTTTAGTTATAAACAAAAAGCTTAATGGGAATATTTTGTTATTTTGTTCACAGTATAGGAGTATTCATCCAGGGAATAAATTTGATAACAGCGGGCTCTAATCTAGCAAAGGTGGAAAACGCATTGGAACTGGAAACTAACCCAATCCAAACGGTGAAGAGGCAATTTTGGTTTGCTTTTTCAGCAATGATCTGTTACGGGCAATTAACCAGTAACTAACCCTTTCCACCACAGGCTGTGATGTACTGTTCACCTCTGTAGAGTTGTGGAAATAGCCGTGCTTGATTTAAAACGGATACACACCGTGCAGCCTGGGTTTCTGGGCACGAGGCTGTTGGAGAATGGCTCAGAGACAAGGGTCCTGAGCCCACCGAGCAGCTGTATGATCAGAGCCTGCTCTGGCTGCTGATGCTGAGCCTCACTAGGGTTTGCCTGTAGCTGCTCGCAGCTGCTGATACAGGAGGAATGTCAAGGACGCTTCAGCCCTGTGTACCGTGGTGTGTCGAAAACAGGTTAAGGGGAATTAGGAATAGTGGTCTGAGAAACCCAGTGTTATGGTAACGGTGGTCTGAGAAACATTGTGTTACGGTACTGTCGTGTATTGAAAACAAGTCAAGAGGAATCAGAAATAGTGGCATGAGAAACTTAGTGTGATGAGCAGCTTGTGCTGTAAGCTAACTGCAAGTAGGTGGACCGTGAGAATACGACCTTTAGAGCTTAAGCCAATCAGCTAGTGACTAGTAGGCATAATAATTATCATTGTCTGTATAAATATGTGTACCCTGGACCAATAAAGACACACGGTGATTGATGCTCTATCACCCACACTGAACCCGTCTCGGCGTGTCGTTCCTCCGCGGCTCCGCACGAGGCAGGGGCTCCTGCATAAAACTGGCGGCCGGGTGAGTGGTTACTGCATCAGGCAGTGCCCTGTGCCTCCATCAGGGAACACTCACCCCTTCCCCTGGCAGGGCAGCAATCAAGGAACACTCACTCCTTCCCCTGGCAGGGCAGCAATCAAGGAACACTCACTCCTTCCCCTGGCAGGGCAGCAATCAAGGAACACTCCTTCCCCTGGCAGGGCAGCAATCCCGGCTGCTCAGGACCTACAACACATCTCCAAGGGGGAGCCCCAGCCTTTTGGGGCTGAGGTGCCGCCTCAGCACAGAAGACGCTCAACTGTCCCTCTTCTACAGGATCTGCAGGCAGCTGCCTCTGAATCCCGGCACCCGGCTCCACACAAAGCCTGGCCGCGCAAAGCTCCCCTCGCCGAGATGCCAAGGGAACGACCGGTAGGAAAGCAACGGGGGTTGGCCGTGGCCGCTCCGCCGCCGAGCCACGACCTGCGGCTCCTCGCTTCAGCGGTTCCTTTCACCTGCCTGCTGCTGGGGTCTTGTCCCCGGGGATCCCACCCCCGGATCCCCCAGCTACGGAAGGCGGCCTCGGAGAAAAAGGCCGAGGGAACCCGGGGCAGGTTCTTCCTCCCCCCGCTCCGCCCTGTCGGGGTGAACCGGCAGCCCGGCCGCGTTCTTCGGGGGGGAGACGTTAGCGCCTCAGGCGAGGCGAGCGCGGGGGGGGGTAAGCACAGCCCCCTGCTCCCTCCGGACATCGGCCTCTCCTCCTTCCCCTTCGCCCCGCCGAGGGCACGGCACGGCGTGCTGCCGAGAAAGCCTCTGGCCCGGCAGCCCCGGGCCGGGGGGCTCCTACGGGCCCACCTCGGCGGGGGCCCCGGCGGCCGCGGCCCGCAGCCGGCCACCACCTCGGGGTGACGGCTTGTAAGGACGCGGTGCGGGCTTTTGCCTGCGCTGGCTGCCTTCGCCCGGGCCTTCGGCCGTCAAGGATTGATCCTGTCCGCGTGCAGGGGTGGGGAAGGCCGGGGAGGGTTTGGTTGGTGCCAGCGGCTGGAATCAGCTCACCTGAAGGTTCTGGAATGGCCGAGTGCTGCAGCGCAAACTCTGCAAATAGAACGGATAAAATAATCTCAATCACTTGAGCTCAGCACTGGTTCGCACACGCCACTCCAGAGATTCAGAAGGCCTTAGTTCATACAAACATTTAATTATATTTAATTAAGACTCTACAGATATTTTTCTGTTCAACAGGTGGGACAAAAAAGGTGTCTTTCAGACTTTCGGTCACTTTCAGTAAGCAACGCCTGCTAAAACACAGCATTCATAGCACAGTAAAATCTCAGTGCTACGTTACAAACATAAAAGAAACGTCCCGTCTTAAGTAAAGTATTGTAGTACAAAACTTCTGCAGAGTGAGCTAAAGCAAGAAAGCTTGTGAAAATTTTAGGGAGGAAAAAGGCCTGTCCAGCTGTGGTGTGTATATACAGATGCGTATGTACATAGGTGCACATGCATTCGCACACATAACACGACCTGGTCTCTGCCATACCCGGTATTCCTACCAACAGATCTCAAGACTCAAAACTGTGATTGGCAACTCTTTTTCTAAAAGAGCGAAAGTTTTGGGAAAGCTGATCAAGAGCGAGGTTTCAGAGCTACTAACAAAAGATGAATGAGCGCCTGCTAAAATATGGTTTGAATTGCCCATTTTTGTATGTCAATACTTTCTGCCCTCCTAGATGCATTTTTCTGCCTCTTCCTCTGGCACAAACCCAGCTGTGTCCTACAGCATTAGGATGTTCTGTTAAGCACATGTGCAGCTGTGTTTTTAAGCCTTGTGAAGGCTTGCTTATGTCAAAAGATGTACCGTTACAAAGACCACATAGACTCCACAAATTTACTTTCACACATGAAGTAACTGTGATAATCTTCCTAAACTTAAATGAAGCAAACAGCTTTAATACACGGATTCAAAAAATCTTTTTGAAATATTAAGAAATAAGTCAGATGTGAGGCTCGTCCTTTTACTCCAGACACACAGAGAAAAAATTAAATGGGAGAATGTGAGACTAACCGTCCCATCTGCCTTTGTAAGTCACCCAGACCAGACGCAGAAATGCTATGGAAGTTAATGCAATGAACCCCAGAAGTGTCACTTTCACAAATCTCAAGAGGCATCATTGACCTGGGGCTGGCTGCAGTTTCTGCCCCAGTTCCAGTTTAATGTATTCCTGTTTGACCCTCAAGCGACAGTGCTGCTGGAGAACGCGCTAAGAAACAAATGCAGGCAATTGCTTTGACATAATTCTTTTGGACTCAGGCAGACCAAATGTGCTGATGTCAACAGAGACCAGAAGAGAGTTTTACTCTATCTCCTCTCCTCACTGAAGAAAAAATAAGAGAAAACAAAGCACAACCCAAGACCTAGCCAAACACATGCCCACCTCTCAGCAGCAATACTAATACAACTGTCTAAGAAAGGGAGAACAAAGATAAACGTTTCCAAAGTATCATTTCGATGTATACACAGCATTTCATTTATACCTTAAATTTACCCGACTTGTATATATAATTGGCTCTTTCCACATAACATGCATGAAACACCTGTTCCATACAGGATATTAATCTAAAACCCCAAGAACAGCGTCATTCAGTCCTTTCTGGCCATAGTACATTCAAAAGAGTTCCTAACATAGTAGCCTCACCCTTAAGCAAACTGCTCGTCTTCCTTCTCTCTTATTCTTCTAAAATTTAGGGGATTTCATGGACCTGCTTTCAACACGATTGTCAAGATGAAACTTTCCTGCCTTGCTACTCATTTAAATGGCCAAACTTTAGCAACTTCGAGGCTGCATAGTTTGATATCAGAGAACACTGAGGCAACGCTGGCGTGGACTGCAAGAATAGAAACTGGAGATATTTTTTCCAAGGGAAAAATGAATTATGATGGGAAACCAGATCAAGGAAGCCACGATGAATATCTTGAGACTAAAAGGTTAAACTGAAGATTTTCTTCTCTACCTGGTTGCTGTTGTTCCTGAAATAACTTCTGTATTAAAAGAAAAAAGAAAGAAAACATACATCAGTGGTAGTTTTTCAGAACTCATAAGGGAAAATACCAGGGTTGAAGGTGGCTCGTTCCTCAATTTTATACAATGAAAAGAGAACAAAGAAACAGATCCCAAGCTCATTCCCTCCTCCTCCCTTTATCTCCTCTCCTAAGAAAGGCTTCCACCTCTGCTCCTCGCCAGTTTCCTTTTCTGTCGTTCCTCCAGCTCCCCATCAGTCCACGCAGGCAGATCGTCTGTAAAGGTATCACGCAAAAAACAGATGTGATCCTCAAGGCTTCCCCTTTCTGTGGGCCTAAAGTGCTTGCAAGAAGAAAAACTCTTGTGAAGAAGTGGATTCTCACTTTCTTTTTTTGGCAGCTACTTGCGTGGGTCACTCTACCACAATTAAAGTCTACATCTGCTATCTGACCACAGTGAAAAGAGTGATAAAAATTACCCCTCAGTATGTCCATAACAGGTACAGTGTAAGGAGCAAGGTCTCTGAGAGAAGAGCGATCATTTTTTATGGGAGTGGCGAGACCCTGGCACAGGTAGCCTAGAGAAGTTGCGGATACCCCAGCACTGCAAATATTTAACACTGGACGGGGCTTTGAGTAAGCTGACCTAGTGGAAGATGTCCCTGACCACGGCAGGGGTGTAAAACCAGGTGATCTTTAAAAGTCTTTCCAACCCAACCCATTCTATGATTGATGATTCTACTATTAAAGTGGATTCCCACCTCCACAGCTGTTATCACAATACAGAGACGCTGCAGTTAGCGCAGCTGGGACCTAGTGGTGCTGGAAGAGAACTTGTGGAATAGGGTTACAAGCTGGTGTTCCCGTAGGCTGCAGACAGAGAAAAATAAAGCACCTGCACTCTAGGATTAAGGCACATGAAAAAGAGATGATAACATACCCACCTGATTTTGTCTAAATGCATAGATGATACAAAACAAACAGCAAATGCACCCGTATCTTTACACTGCCATTTGTACGAAGAGTCAAAGTTTATTATTTCTTCCACACTGCAAAGCTACAGCTGTTATGACAATCACAGCAGCTATTATGTAGTTCACACTCACTATCTTTTCAGAGCATGAGAGAACCCATCATCTGCAGGCTCTGAACACTTCCCTCTAAACGTGCTTGTCTAATAGGACTCCAGTTTTCAGCAACAGTAGGTTATCAGTTATTTAGCTACTGCAGGCTGTTACAATATTTTTACAACAGGAAATGTGTATTCCGTACCTAAGAAGAATACACTTACAAGAAATTATGCAGGAAAGGAAAGTGATCTAATTTCTGTTGTGCTTACTTCCTTCTGCAGTGTGCCGCATTGAGATGTTTGTTCCAATACACAGATATTAGTTCAAGGCCAAGATTTTATTCACCCTGATCCTACAAAACAAGCCTGCAGCTAAACTGCAACTCAAACACCTCGGGCTGTTGGACTGCATTCACATTCATGTACGTGACTTAAGTAAGTGGGTTTAAAAAGTCTCTGTTTGAGGTTATTGAGCCTGTCTTATCCGTAGCTGGGTATGTGTGTGTGTCGGTTCCGTAGTTTTAAAACTTCTGTGAACTAAGAACACACCCCTGAAGATGCAAACAGTCCATCGACCAGGAAGCATCAGCTTTGAAGGGTCTTTGCTGTGGTCCTGAACCTCACCGTTGCAGACCGTAAGAAAATGGCCATTGTGCTGGATTTAGGGAAACAGCACAGCACCTTCACAAAGTGCTGCACTCATCCACGGACGTCACCCAGCCACCGCTGCTGAACAAAGAAACCTGACTGACTGCTACGCTTCACTCCTCTGCTTTTGCAAAGCCAGGCTTTAATTCAGGAAGTCTGAGGTAGCCTTTTGAAAGGAAACTTTCAATGCTCTTATGCTATTTATTACTGTGACTGACAATACATGTATATAATAAATTATAAATGGCCACATGCAACTGCCTCCTGTCTGCAGGCTAAAAGCTGGCAAGAGACTCTACACTGCTGCAGGGACAAATCTGCAACAGGCAGGCTGCTGAATTTGGGGAGTTTTGAGCACCAGCGGATTCGCAAGCTGACCAGTCAGTGCTGAGTGCTCATTGCCCAAGTTCTTGGGAAAGGATAAACAGACGGGTCAGGAAAGGACAGTACTCTGAACTGGACTGCAGAGCTGTAGAAATAACATCCAGAGTTCATTTGTTCCTTATCTTCCGTATTGTTCTAGCATGTTCTAGCTTGGAAGCTAGAGAATCATTAAAAACCATTAAACAATTAATACCCTGCATTTTTGGTGAAATGACAGGACTAACTCTTCCATATTGATGTGTTATAGAGGTAGGGGAGTTAAAAATATAAATGAAATCACGGGATAGTTTAAAAAGCTATGTTTGTTTTGTTTATGATGTCAGTAGTGTACTCTTCTGGCAAGGCAATATTGACTCTGAAATGCAGAAGATTTCCCTAAGGCTGGGCTGGACCTTCTGCTTTTTGTTTGCGTTTGGGCACTTAACCATCTTCAGCGAAGATTTTCTTGAGTGTGAAATATGAGGCTACGTGTTTTCTTTTGTATGTATTTTTTCAGAGGAGTTTTTCAGATGCCAGGAGCATAAATGTAAGCAAAAGAAAACAGTCCCAACTGTGTCAACTTCCCAGCACTATATTTTGTACGCTGGTGCTTTTGTTTTCTTGCAAGTTCAGCATTGCTTTAATGTCAGCACCCTAGATTCCCCCTGCCCCCAAGTGATACATATTAGTACATCTGTTTTCTCTGTAAAGTCTTTTTGCATTCTTTGCAGGGCACAGGAAGGATGTGGGCTCCTTTTCACATTCAAATGAGGCAAATTAGCCTTTGCCTGGTTCCTACAGCATAATGCTTATTTTACATTTAAGCGTGAGAAAAGGGGAGGAAATAAAACCCAACACGTTAGGTGGGCTATAAGTTTCATTTTGGTACAAGCCGCACTTGGCCTTCTTTTGCAAACTGCTTTCCACAGGAGATAATCTCAGGATGGGGTTCAAGAGTTTAATCATGTAAAACGACCAAGTGATTCGCGCAAAGAA